CCATGCATCGGTGATGCCAACATTTTGATGTCTAGTTGTGGCTCAAATTAAACATACCCTAAGACTCCATCTCCAACCGCCAACCCACGAAACCTACCCGGTGCCCGGATCTGTTGGTTCGGACCCCAAAACGCGCGCCCCATGGCAGGTATATGCTGCTAAAGATTTAGGGTTTCTTTGCATGCAGTCCAATTAGCGACTAAAGTTTTCCCTCCCGAGTAGGTGAGACTGAGAGGCAAGGCAGGATGACGGCGGGCGAGTGGCTCACCTGGACAGGGTGGGAATCTCGACGGAGGAGAGCGCCCGCGTGGCCGCTTCACCGCCGGAGTAGAGGATGTCGAGGAGGAGCGCCTCTGCTTCGCCACCGGAGGAGGACAGGAGGATGTCGAGGAGGAGCGAGACCGAGTACACATCGCCGGAGGAGAGGATATCGACGAGGAGCGAGTCCGCATCGCCGGTTGAGGTTTGCGCTGGCGGCCGTGTGTGAATTTTATGGAGTCGGTTAGGTTTAGTAGAGAATGGATCAGTGCTTCGCGAACCTTTTTATTTTTTGAGAACCTACATGCACGCAGCCTTTTTTTAAGATGACCTTAACTGGCAGAAATTCTGGCATTTTGTTAAATGGCTCTTTGAATTGCAGGAATATGGAAACGTAGGCATAGTAAAAAAACATAGAATGAAGATGGCAATGGGTACCCGGAACCTGCGAACTGGACTTGTAAAAACTCTATTATTAGGGTAAGTATAAGAAATACAAACTCCCATGACATGTAAATGAAAAAGCAATTATACCCACGGGGGTATAGTTGGTTAGAGTACGTGATACAATATTCGTACCCGCATACTCATATAGTACTTGGCTGCATGCATTAGTATGACATGTAGGATCATGCTGTCATCGAGTAATTAACTACTCCCTCGGCCCAAAATAAGATACTTATTATGGAACAAAGGGAGTATAAAAGAAACCTAGAGGCAATTTAATCGGTCACTTCTATCCTATGATACCCTTGTCGCCAGCCCAACTCCTATCCTCCCACTTGTCTTTCCCTCCTTGATCATCCCCGCCCTCCTGATCCCGGCGCCAGTGTGTCCATCCGACTATGTCGACTGTCACCTACAGCCCTGCACCATGGGTTGCCATCGCCTGCCACTCTCCACTAGGATCACGCCCGCCACCATTCCCATAGTCCCGCCTTAGTGCCTGCACGGCTGCAACTCCTTCACCACCACAAGACAGCCACATCGCCTTGTCCCAGCCACCTTCCATGCTCTAGTCGATAAGGACAATATACTGTTATAGTTGGTGATGTAGGTGTCGCTGTTGTATTCACCATCCACAACTAACAAGGTCCTCCCTATCGGAAATGTGAATTGGGTGAAGCCATGATCATTTTTGAAAATCAAGAACATTTTGGAAATTCAAGAACATTTTTTGCAACTCAGGCAACCACCTATAAAATGTAGAAACATTTTTCAAATCCATTTTTTTTGAAATTCAGAAACATTTTGAAAGAGCATGAATGTTTTTTGAAAATCGTGAACAGTTTTATTTTTTAAATATTTTTTAAAACTAATTAATGCTTTTTAAAATTTGCAAATATTTTTATATTTTGAACTATTTTCTAAATTTTCGACTAATATTAAATTATTACTTTTTCTAAAATTTCTGCAGTACTAGTGTTTTTTATGGTTTTGGTGAAAATACCCAGCCCCAAGTTTTTTTTGATGGGAAATACCCAGCCCCAAGTAAATGACCGAATGGGCCGACACAATACGTGCCTGAGGCTTGATAGAGGAAATACCCAGCCCCAAGTAAGATGTTCTTAAAATTGTAAAGAAGAATAAAAAAATTAAGAAAGGAAAGAAAATGAAAAAAAG